ATTAAGGACATTGTGTTTCTGACAGTTGTACCTGACTACCTTCTGCAAAAATCTCTTTCAGAGTGTTTAATGCTAAAAGAATTTTAGATACATTTTTGCTTCTATTCATGACATTTTAAATCATAGCTCATTGGAGTTATTCTTATCAAAAGAATTATTCCTTCTTTTTTTCTTATTATCCGGTTTAAAGAATCTGACTCAAAGTTTCTTAATTTCAAACAAGGCAGACAAAACTTATCAAGTTTCTATGGCTACTGAGCAATGGTTCTTTTACTTGCTTTGATGTTTTTCAAGAGTGGGAACAGGGGTCTTCTGTGCAGCAATAAAGAATCCAATAAATTGTATATTCAAGGCATTTTATAAACTAGGATGGTTGTACATAACTAAAATATACTCAGTGATAAAAATAGTACAAATTAACTTGCTATGAAGTTAATGTAATTCTATTTCAATAGATTCGACCACAGCTATTACACAATTTCAAAGGTTAATGTTATATTTTTGGGTTTTAGTCAGATTTGTATATGTAATTTGCATAAAGGACTACTCCCATAATCAAGCTCTTAGTCACAATGAACTACTGTGCGACCTTCCGTGGACAATATCTGTAGTATGGCATTGCCCAGATGTCAAATAATACCCATGTTACTGTATTTAGCACACTGGATATGATACAAGTCTTATCATAACCTCTAGATTTTGTAAATCATTCTCTCATACTACAGTCCCAGCCCTGAACTAGAGAACAATCTATTAAAAAGAACAGATAAGCAATAGCAACAGTTAATAAAGTAAATCCCAGGTTCACAGAGCTTTATATATCCTCAACGCCAAAATGACAGTGATATGATACTTTCCTTTTTTTACAGTCCTTCTAGAGCTGAGTTGGATGCAGCCTTTCTTATTTGTGGGTTTGTTGGACCAACATCAGGAAATTTCCTCCTGCTACAGATCTTGATCATTCAGTTAGAGACAGCAGACAGCTGTCCCTCCTTCTTCCCACCAAAGCAGCAGCCATTTTGAAGGCTGGACTTCATTAGCATTCAACAAACAAACTGAAGATGGAATACAAATCTCCCTGACAGCCCACCAGCGCAGATACTACAATGTTGAATGGACTAGCTGACCTCTGAACCAGAGAAAGGCAAATCCTTGGCCAATGAGTTTGAATTCATGGATTGAATAGTGCAGAGAGTGTTAACGTGGAGATGGTCTTGGTGAAGTGGAGAGCTATTATCTGAGCATATGGGCAAAAAACTTTCCAAAATTTTGCACCAGTGGGTGGAAAATTGTAGACAGTATATCCATGCCTTTATGAATAATTACACACCATTAAAATGCCTTGCAAATGGTATTGATGCAAGAAGATTATCCCATTCATTCCCACTCAATTGAGCCTTAACCAGATCAAAGGAAAGTATGTACCTCAATATTCCATGAGGAAAAAACAACCACTAAATGTAAAAGATAATCCTTGGATTATCTGATATTGCATTTGGTATTTAATCTGTTTGGAATAATTCCTATCATAAAGGCAGAAAATTGACATTGCTGGAAGCCAATTATTTTATCTCCAGAACATTGGCTGTGTGAGTTCAATGGGGTCATGTCCTCAGGGCTAAACATCTTCAACCACTTCATAGAAGACATTACCTCCATCGTAAAGTGAGAAATGGGGATGATTGCTGATGCTTGAACAGTCAGTACCATTTGTGACTCCTCAGGTACTGATGCCATTCTACCCACATAGAAATGGACCTGGATAACACTCAGGCTTGTGCTAATCATTGGCAAATAACATTTGTGCAAACAAATTTCAGGCAAATACCTCTCCAACACCAGAGAATCTAATTATTTTCCATGTTATTCAACAGTATCACCATCACTGATCACTCAATATCTTGGGGGTTTAACATGGTCCAGAAGCTGAACAGAACCAACTATATTAATACGATGTTTAAAAGGCAGGTTGGAATCTGGGAATTTTGTGGCAAATAAGTCATCTCCTAACTCTCCAAAACCTGTCCATCATCTACAAAGCATAAAAGGGATGGGATATTCCTCCATTTACCTGGAAAATGCAGCTGTTATAGTATGTAAGAAGCTCAACACCATCTGAGAAGACAAACTGCTGGACTGGCGCTCCATCTGTCACTTTACACATTCACTCTCTCCACTGACACTTATACAAGGGCAAATACAAGATGCACTCTAGCAACTCATCTACTCCTCCTAAACCATCTTCCAAGCCTGTGACCTCTATATCTAGAAGGACAAGGACAGCAAGTGCAGGGGAACACAGCCATCTCTAGGTTTTCTCTAAACTTACCCCCATCCTGTTTTGAGATTATATTGCCATTTTTTGTTCGCTATCTCTGAGTCAAAATTCTGGAACTCTTTCCCTAACAGTACTATGTATCCATGAACTGCAGTGGTCAGGATGGCAGCTCACCACCACTTTCTCAATAGCAATTAAGGAATGGCAATATATGCTGGTTATGCCAGCAATGCTCACATCTTGCTGCAATGCATTATTTATCTCTCAAAGAGTGCTTCACTGCTCAAAATGTGATTGCCAACTTCTTGAAAAGCACTTCATCTATACAGCACTTCATTTACATTCAGCTGCACTTCTCTGCTGCCAACCTTCACCACAGCATGGAGTAACTTACACAAGATCTTTTTCTAACCTCTGATGAGGGCCAATATTAGAATTAACAAGACTGCCAGCAGCAGCAGGAGCAATACTCAGAAGCAATTCCAGCTATCTTCTGCACAGACCCGAGCCCCTTCATTGGTGCACAGGAGATGGACGCCAAGATCCAGCTGGAAGGGAGCAAGGCCCTCAGCTCAGGAACTAAAGGAAAAAGATCAGCTCCTAACATGTCTGAGCACCAGCGACAGGAGAACCAGGCACTCATGGCAGATCGCATGGGCATCTGCAACCTCCTGAAACAGACTTCCTTCCCAATGGATCTGGTGACCATACATTGCTACTGGCTGACAAAGTGTTTGTGTGAGGTGTGAAGTTTGTGTGACGAGAAGAGAAGGACATATGTTTCAAAAGGTGAATTTGAAGCATGGGTGTGAAAATAGATAAGTATCAGTGCTAGTTGTTCAAGTGGGAATGTGTGGTGCTTGTGGAGAGAGCAATGAGTGGAGCTACATGATGTGTTGTACTGAGGAGCACTCTGAAAGAGAATATTAAGGATGTCGGTGTGTGGAGCCCACCTGAAAGTGTTATGATATCGTTCTCACCCTGCTGAGGGCATGGATCCACTAGATGCAGTATATCCAGGTGGATTGGACCACATTTACTCTGCAGATTTCCTTGGCTACTTCCATCCACACTCACTCGATTGGAGATGTTATCCTCTTTCTCCATTCTCGGGAAAGCTATTTCATTGAAGCACCTTAGTTCCAACAGCGGGACCTATGGGAAAGACCCAGGAGCAGCATTCCCCTTAATTTCTTTTCTTCTGTACATAACTCCGAGATCATGCGCTGCAACAATTTCGAGGACCCGAAGTTAATGCTGCAAGTAGCATCAGCACACCCATTGCCATGCACAGACCCTTATAGCAGCTGTGCATCTGACAACTTATACGGAATCATCTTATATGGAATGTTGGTTGCCATATGTCCACCCTGTTGCTGGAGTAGCTTTTGTTCAAAAATCCAAGTGTTGGTGAGCTGAGGTAACACAGAAATCCTTCCTGTGACAGAATGGACATGTCTTCTTGATTACTAGGGTAAGCAAGAGGCAGGATACCTCTTACCAAACCTGTCTATCTCTATATTGAGTTTCTGACCCAAAAATACTCTCCATTCTGGCAGGGACCAAAGCCAGATGTTGCCACTCCAAAACATGTGAAATACATTGTACATTTTAATTCACACTGAACAAAAACAAAGGAAAATTGGAGGAGTGACTAAAAATAATTAGTCAAGTGTAAGTTTTAAGGAAGTTCTTAAATGATAACAATGAGAGAGATGGAGCAGTAGAGCATGAAAATCTCTTTGATAAGTTGCAGGCCTGGGACTTGATACAGAGATATGGGAGAGGTTGGTAATGAGGAAAATGCCATGAAATGCTTGAAGACTTTGATGAGAATTATAAATTGGATGTAGTGGTAGACAGGGAGCACATGAAGAATGGTGAGCAGCCATTGGTGCAGGTTAGGATACGGGCAGCAGAGGTGAAATCAGGGAGTGTGATTGAGAAGATATGGGTTCAGGAGCTTATCTCAGGGTCAAATAAGAAACCGAGTTTGCAAGAGGTCTGTTTAATGCAAAGAATGTAGGCATGGAGAGCAGATGGAATAATTGGTGAGGGAATGGAGTGTGTGGTGTGGGCAGGGACAATAGTGTCAATGTACTTTATGTTTAACTGATCATTTAAAATATTTTAGTTTCTGGAAGTAGTAGTTTCACAGAAAGCTACACTGTTCAGTTATGTATAATGTGTAAATTGCACACTGTGAAGTTACTTTAACAGTAGAATGTGATAACGTCAAAACTGAAGTTGTTCAATAGATTCCAAGCTAATTAAAGGAACTCACTGTAGTTTTCCTGGAACAACACAGCCAGTGAGGTACAACAGAACTATCCTACTAAAAACTAGGGGAGAAGAAGTTAGAAAGGGTGATGAACAAAATAAAAATATCAAATTTCTTTAGCCAAAAATTAATAATTCAATAAGAAACATTTGATTTTTGCTTAGTTAAACATTACAGATATCAAGAGAAGCAATTTAGATACTTCTGTGATAAATGAGCACAATTTCAGTAAATATTCATAGACTTTAAACCATTGTAGATAATTAAACAGTTAATAAAATGAGCTGAAAAATACTCAAAGTAATCTCCAGTAGGGTACACTGGAACTTTTCTCATCAAAAGGTTGCAGGTTAGAAAGTCACAGGAAAATGTCTGAGGGGGAGTTCATTTTTAAACAGCAAATTGACTCATCTTATCACAAAGTTATTTGAATCTTTACAGCTGGAGCCTCTTCCCCAAGACGTTCAGCTTCAGAAGCCAAACGCCAATGCTGTAGCTTCTCTGGAAAAAACAATTGAAATTCAAAGTAAGTTGTTTGAGTAATATATCTTTAATTACAGGATTGCCAGGAAGGTCTCTCTGTTTACTACTTTTCTAAGTCAGTGTGTCAGTTTGCTGATTGCACATGGGCTCATACTCAAAGAAGAAACAATATTATGTTTACATAAACAATTTGTAAAAACACAATGAGCAAAGAGCTTTAAGATTAGAAAATAACTAAGTATAACAATTTCCTCAGAAATCTTCCCTGGAACAAATAAGCTTCAACCAGGAGTTCTGTTCTTTCAGAATATAAATGCTTTTCTTTTCTATTCCAAAAGAGAAAAAAATGTTGGAAACACTCCAGAATAAGCTCAGATCTGTATTTTTATTGATAATACAAGTCCAGAAATTAAAATCTTCCATTCTTTCCTTATAAAATCCAGAATTCAATAGTGAAACAAAACTGGCAGTCTTTTCTACAGATGAATAACAAATAATCTCATGATGTTGGCAACAGAACAGTGTAGTGAGAATGAGTGGTCCATTAACTCTTGGCATGTTAAATTTATTTTACAGTTATGAGAACTGGAATATTTTCCACCACAGCCTCTTTCAACTCCTAATACATATCTTTTAAAATGATCAAAAATTATATAATATAAATGGGGTTGTAGAAAATGTCTTGCCAAGAATACATCCCAGTAAGTAAAACTGCAGTTCCTCCTCAAAATTGAAATAGTTTTACAATCTTGGCAAGCTAGAATTTATGTTATCAATTTTCCACTTATGTGCAAATTTCCATTAATCTTTTATAACAATAGTACATAAAATAATCAGTGCAGTTAATGGTTTTCCACTCTACCTCATTGATCATTGTTCTTTTCATCAAAATCTGCTGTTGCTATACGAATGGGGACATAACAGCAATCTCAGCAACAGGGCTGAAATGTTTCAGAAGACTCAAGACTTTGAGTACAACTCAAGTTGTACTCCATCCCTCTCTTCATTCTGCAAACAGCATTTCATTGTGTTACGCAGAACCACTGTCTTTGGAAGTCAAGATGGGTCTGCGCCAAGAGGAATTTTGCAATGAAAGCAAATTTGTTCAAAAATACAGGGCCATAACAAATGACAAGGAGTATGTTTAAGTGCCATGTTTCATACTAGAATGGTTTGATCCATTTATTTAAAATCATTACATAGAATAATTTTGTTTCGCTAGACATAACAGAAAAGAACCTATTCTATCTTATCTTGCAGAACCCCATTAAATTACTGCCAAGATCAGACTAAATGTAATTTGAAAAAAAAATATGTTTCTCATTCATTTTTAAATGTGTTCTGTGGTAATCAACTACATAATCTCTCATATTCCAGTCCTTGGTTAAGCCACTGCAAATTCATTTCTGTACAGCCGTATGAATCAAAATAAAATCGGATTCTTATTATTTGTTAACGAACTATTGTTGGGAACATTATATAAAGCAGTGGAGTAAAAGCTATTTGAGTTATACACGATTTGTGAAAGCAACTTTAGGTTAACAAAAGAATTGTTTAATTCAGCAAAATGTTGACTGTTTTTAAATTTCAAATATAAGATCATTTGATATATTGTTATTGTACTAAAGGAAAAAGTAAGATATTACAATTCTTGTAAATTTTATAATTTTCTGTTTAAAATGTCTTGCACAATTTTTTGTGCCCTTAAGGTAAGGAGTTTTAAATCTAGGCAATGGAACAATTTTTCATCTTAGACACTCACAGCTAGCATCCACAATTAATTGGATATGTACAGCAGCATCACCTGTAAACTAATGTCCCTACGATTCTATAAAATGTGTATAGCTTCAACCTCAGAAAAATGCCTACAGTAATCGCCCTTGCCACCTCTCTTCGAGACAGTAACATGGCAAATGTTATGTTACAGATGCATGTCACATAGGGACTGGTCTACGATTGTTCAAAATTATTAAGCATAGTATTCTCACAGCTAGCAAAGACAGAACACCTCAATCCCGTCAATATGAATCAGATTTGAATCTATAATATCAGGAGTAAGAGGACAATGTGGGTGCTCATTGCATCATTTGGTTTTGAACTGAATTCACTGAAGTCTTCTTATGTGGATCTGATCTCCAAAACATTAGCTGGGTAGATCTACTTCTTTCTGCAAGTCAAAAGAGACATCACACAATTAATGATCAGTGAACCCATGCCAAGCACCTTGAGCATCTTAGTGATACAATGTGTTAAAAAGCTTAATTCAACAGAATTTGAGTTACAACTCACTGGGACAGTCTGAATACTTTTGAAACGTGATAGGCTACTGACAAGTAGAATATGGGATGATACATGCACTGTAATTATGGTGAGCTTCTGATCTCAACTACAACATCAAGTTGAAGATATGAGATATTTTACTCTGAGTAACATCTTACACGTGATTATGCAGAGCGCTACTGAAGCACCAAAATAAGATTTTAAAATTTTCTCTCAACCTAACCTGTGGAATGGCTCCATTGTCTGTCTCTATTCCTGTTGATTTCCTATCTTAACAGCACACTTTTTGGCTGTGGATGGGGTTTTCTCTGGATTCTGGCAAGAGTGTCATTACTAAATACAAATCAGGTTCCCATGATGTAGATACACAATACAATTTTAACCCACACCTGACAGTGTCAGGAAGCCCATTTTGGTACCTTGGCAGGTTTTTAAAAATAAAAAAAAAAGCTTTCATGAATGGAACATCTCCTCCTCTCAGAAGAAGCCCATTGTGAGTCCCCAGGGACCTTGATTCTGGGGAAGACCTGCCACTGCCTATTAGGAATCCAGTTGGCAATCACTTCAATAGATCATCTGTAAATGTAGGTCTCTCACGATTGGAGAACAATCCCTGTTGCCTTTATCAAATGCTGCCCTATAAAGCTTGACCTACTTTAAAAATCTTTTAAGAAAATTACATTCTAATTCTTATCTATAGAGTGAGATGTAAATCAGTTTTACAGAGTTTTCATCATTTGACATTGAAACTATATTTACTTCCATTCACAGAGAAATATTGGAAATCAGTGCAACAGTATGCCTCAGAAGTTGACTGGTCTCTCAAAAATGCCCAAAACCTGGAGAGAAAAGAGACAGAAACAGTGTCTGCCATGGCATCACTTTCAGTGGACCCCAGACAGAGACATTCACAGAAAAGGAGCAGGTCAGCAACAACATAACAATTACATAGAAATCAGAGCAGAAATAAATAAAGTGTTGATGTTGCGAGCAGAGTAAGAGACCTAGATTTCACATATTTTGATCTGAGTGTATTTCAATGTTGGTATGATAATCTGGGAGAGAGATAAATGGGCTACATTTCAGACAAAATTCAATTTTAAAAATATGCTACTTTGAGGCTAGATTAAGTATATTATACAAGTATACAGACAATGGGAGCATTTGCTACTGGCATTCGAAGATTAAATACACACACTGTTTTAAATTTAGTTATTATTTAAGTTTACTTTAACCTCCATAAGACCATTAGACATAAGAGAAGTAGGCCATTCAGCCCATTGAGGTTGCTCCACCTTTCAATGAGTTTCTGCCTGATCTGATTATCCTCAACTCCACTCTTCTGTTTATTCCCCATTACTCTTGATTCTCTTACTGATTAAAAATCTATCTCAACCTTGAATATACTTAATGACCTAATCTCGACAGCCCACTCTAATGAAGAATACCACAGATTCATTACGCATCTCTATCTTTAAATGTGCGACCTTTATTCTGAGATTATTCTCTCTGGTCCTTGTCTCTTCCACGAAGGGAAACAACCCTTCCACACCTACCCTGGCAATCCCCTAAGGATCTTCTATGTTTCAACAAGGGCATCTCTCATTATTCCAGATCCCATTGAGTATGGGCCCAACCTACTCAACTTCTCCTCATAAGACAGTCTCTCCATACCTGGTATCAGCCTAGTGATCCTTCTCTGGACTGCCTTCAATGTCACTATACCTTTCTTTAGGTAAGGGGCTCAAAATTCTTCATGGTATTCCAGCTGTGGTCTGAAATCACAAAGTACCCACTCTGACTTTTATTTTAAGAATTGTTGCCAGCAAATTTCCTCTCAGCTGGTGGTATAGCTGCTTGGCTGGGTCTGTGACAGGTGGTGAGGGAACCAATAAGAGGGAAAAACATACTTGACCTCATCCTTACCAATCTGCCAGTTGCAGTTGCATCTGTCCGTGACAGTATCATTAAGAGTGACCATCGCGTAGTCCTTGTGGAGACGAAATCCTGCCTTCACATTGAGAATAACTTCCATCGTGTTGTGTGACACTGTCACCATGCTAAATGGGACAGACTTCGCACAGATCTAGCAACTCAAGACTGGGCATCCATGAAGCACTGTGGGCCATCAACAGCAGCAGAATTATACTCCAGCACAATCTGTAACCTCTTGGCCCGGCATAACCCCCACTCAACCATTACTACCAAGCCAGGGGACCAACCCTGGTTCAATGGAGAGTGCAGGAGGGCATACCAGGAGCAGCACCAGGCATACCTGAAGATGAGGTGTCAACCTGGTAATGCCACCAGACAGGACTACTTGCACACCAAGCAGCAAAAGCAGCAAGTGATAGACAGAGCTAAACGATTCCACAATCAACAGATCAGATCTAAGCTCTGCAGTCCTGCCACATCCAGTCATGAATGGTGGTGGACAATTAAACAACTCGCTGGAGGAGGAGACTCCACAAATATCCCCATCCTCAATGATGGAAGAGCCCAGAACATCAGTGCAAAAGCCAAGGCTGAAGCATTCGCAGCAATCTTCAGCCAGAAGTGCCGAATGGATGATCCACTTTGGCCTGCTCTAGTGATCCCCAGAATTACAGATACCAGTCTTCAGCCAATTTGATTCACTCCACATGATATCAAGAAATGGTTGGAGACACTGGATATTGCAAAGGCTACGGGCCCTGACAACATTCCGGCAATAGTACCGAAGACTTGTGCTCCAGAACTTGCCCCTCCCCAGGCCAAGTTCCAGTACAGTTACAACACTGGTAATCTACCCGACAATGTGGAAAATTGCCCATGTATGTCAGGTACACAAAAAGCAGGAGAAATCCAATCCGGCCAATTACCGCCCCATCAGTCTCCTCTCAATCATCAGCAAAGTGATGGAAGGTGTCATCAACAGTGCTATCAAGCAGCACCTGCTCAGCAATAACCTGCTCAGTGACGCCCAGTTTGGGTTCTACCAGAGCCACTGAGCTCCTGACCTTATTACAGCCTTGGTTCAAACACGGATAAAAGAGCTAAATTGCAAAGGTGAGGTGAAAGTGACAGCCCTTGACATCAAGGCTGCATTCGACCGAGTATGACATCAAGGAGCCCTAGCAAAACTGGAATCAATAGGTATCGGGGTCAAACGCCCGGTGTTTGGAGTCATACCTGAAACATAGGAAGATGGTTGTGGTTGTTGGAGGTTAGTCATCTCAGCTCCTGACATCTCTGCAGGAGTTCCTCAGGGTAGTGTCCTAGGCCCAACCACCTTCAGCTGCTTCATCAACGGCCTTCCCTCCATCATAAGGTCAGAAGTGGGGATGTTTGCGGATGATTGCACAATGTTCAGCACCATTCGTGACTCCTCAGATACTGAAGCAGTCCAAGTTCAAATGCAACAAGATCTGGACAATATCTAGGCTTGGGCTCACAAGTGGCAAGTGACATTCGCACCACACAAATGCCAGGTTATGACCATCACCAACAAGAGACAATCTAACCACTGTCCCTTGACATTCAATGGTGTTACCATCACTGAATCTCCCACTATCAACATCCTGGGTGTTGTCATTGACCAGAAACTCAATTGGACTCACCACATTAACACAGTGACTACAAGAGCAGGCCAGAAGCTGGGAATACTGCGGCAAGTAACTCATCTCCTGACTCCTCAAAGCTTATCCACCATCTACAAGGCACAAGTCAGGAGTGTGATGGAATACTCCCCACTTGCCTGGATGAGTGCAGCCCCAACAACACTCAAGAAGCTTGACACCATCCAGGACAACGCAGCCCACTTGATTGGCACTGCATCCACAAGCATTCACACCCTTCACCATCAACGCTCAGTAACAGCAGTGTGTACTATCTACAAGATGCACTGCAGAAATTCACCAAAGATCCTCAGACAGCACTTTACAAACCCATAACCACTTCCATCTGGAAGGACAAGGGCATCAGACATATGGGAACACCACCACCTCCAAGTTCCCCTCCAAGTCACCGACCATCCTGACTTGGAAATATATCACCATTCCTTCACTGTCGCTGGGTCAAAATCCTGGAATTCCCTCCGTAAGGGCATTATGGGTCAGCCCACAGCAGGAGGACTGCAGCAGTTCAAGAAGGCAGCTCACCACCACCTTCTCAAGGGCAACTAGGGATGGGCAAGAAATACTGGCCAGCCAGTGACGCCCACATCCTAAACAATGACACTAAATGACACTAAACAATGCTATTCACTGTATTTGTAATAAATACACATGACAATAAATAAGTAAAATTATGGTTTCCAGATCGATGATTACAGAATAGTTTTTTTTTTCTGGAAGGGTGATGTTTAGGGAAAATACCCATAGCTTGGAAGAAAACTTTCTTTAGTTTCAATTGGGCAGTTTTGCAGAAGTCTTAGCTGAAGCTAAATGTATAACACAGTTGCTTTTGACAAATAGAGATGGTTTAGAACTGTTAGGACATAAGTTATCTCAATGGAAGCAATTTAAAGTTGAAAGTTCCAGAGCAGATTTGTTTGTTTACAATCCTGAAGTAGTTATATAAAGCTGGAAAAGTGGTGTGAAGGCTCCAGGAAAGGGCTATTAGGTTCTTGAGATGTTAAATTGAAGCCAGATTTAAATTAAGCCTTATGGATATGAAAAAGAAGGGAACTGTTTCTGGTGTAAGTATTGTAAAACATTGCTTTGGTATTAATGGGATTTTATTTTACCAGGTATTTCCACATCTTAAAATTTATGTAAATATTTTGGTTTATTTTATGTTTTCATCGTTTTCTGTGTGTAATAAATGTCTGCTTTATTGTTAAAACCAAATCTGTAGCATTGTTCTTGTTTCAGTGAGAGACTGCCTTGTTCAAACCAAAACGGAAACAAAATATCATCAACAAGCCAGATTTTAGTCTGGGATCTGACTTGTGCAGTAATGAAATCAGCTCGGGTCATTGCAACACTGCTGCTATCACTTATTGTCAGCAGTACCCCTTCCTTTTTCTTTTTGTCTGTCCCTCCTAATAATCAAACATGCTTTAATACTTTCCAGTATTGGTCACCCTGCAACCATGGCACTGTATTGTAAATTAAATCACATTCTTTAACTTCTAATGGCACAATCAATTCACATATCTTGTTGCGAATGTTGTGTGCATTCAGCTAGAGAATTAATTCGACATTTTAATACAGTTCTGTAATTCAATCCTGAATGATTCTGGAATTTGTTTCCGTTACCATTCAGTTTAATTTATATCTTTTCAACTCCCATTACCAGCTTTGTCTTTTTATTTTATCTGAATTCTCTTTTGGTCCCCTCCTCCTGACAAGCTCGTTTAACTCTTGCAAAAGTGCTAGTAAATCTCCCCACAAGGAAAATATTCCCAGTCCTGCTAAAGATGTAACCTAACCTCATTGTGCAGGTTCCACCTGGTCCAGGTCTCAAAGCCCCAGAGATCTGAAGCCCCCTGTCCTGTATCATTTTTACAGATACTTAGTCATTTGTTCAATTTTCCTACTTCCAAATTCACGAGTATGTGGTACTGAGAACAATCCTATTATTACTACCTTAGAAGTCATGCTTTTCAGTCCCTTGCCTAATTCCCTAAATTCAACTTTCAGGATTTCATCCCTTTTTTGATTTACTTTATTAGTGCTCATGTGGACCATAATATCTGGCCCATCATCCTTGCTCAAAAGTGTCTTGAGCTGCTCTGTGACATCCTTGAACCTGGTGCCAGGATTGCATCATCCTTGAGTCATGTCCATGGCCACAGAAATGCCTGTCTGTTCCTCTAAATACTAAGTATCCTCCTACTATTTATTTCCCTTCCACTCTTCTTCTTCCTCATACTTGTTTGCCTACTGAACCATTGCCCTCACTAGTATACCAAATGGAAAACTGTTTAGTAAGTGAGAAAAA